ATTATTTTATTGAATTTATTCCTTTGTTGTGAAAAATTTTCAAAATTAGGAAAAATAAAACTTTTTTACTACATATTTTATTTATTAATATTTTGGAATCAGAGCTGTTTAACTTTTCTTAATGTTAGGCTTTCCTTTCTCCAGACTTGTTCTGTGTTTTAGGCATTGATGTGGCTTTAAAACGCTTCACCTTGGTCTCTTACCATGCAAACGTTCTGTGGGTGGGAGGCAGGGAGGGATGAGAAATGGGGAGGGTTCAATATTTATACTTGGAGGTGTGGGGAGATTGTAATAAAAACATAAAATTAAAGGGATCTGGCCTCCTGTGAACTGTTTCTAAAAGCAAAATCTGGACTTAAACACAGGCACAGAGTGCTGGATGATGGCCGCTATTATAGTTGTGTATCTACAGGTTTTACATTGTTAGGATCTTGTAAATGTGCTGGGGGAAATCACAATTGTACGTGTATATAGCTTAAGAGAAAATGCTCTCAGAACCAGGATTTAAGAAGTCTTCTGAAAAAGTGCATATTTAATTAAAAAAAACCCTCAGGTTTTCTTTTTGCTGATAGGAAACTGTTGAAAGATGATATGAATTGTTGCAAAAGTGAGAATTAAGTGGAAAATTCCCTTTGTTAATGGGAACTGAGAGATTATGTGGAATACTGAAAATATGGGGAATGCATGTGTACTGTGAAGTCTTTCTTAGTCTAAGTATTGAATAGATGCATTGATAAGAAAATACACCTTATATCTGTTTATATTACATTATAAAGAAACTGGCTTAGAAATACGGAGAGTTTATATTTTATATTTTTCTCCCTGTAACATAGAGTGTTTAAGATGTACAGATGTTGGTAGCTAAACTATTAGAAACTAGGTTACTTTTTCTTAAATGCTGTGTATTCACACCTGGGACAGACTGGACAGATGGTTTTCTAGAGCAAAAAATAGGTGTCAGCATAAGCTGTGGACAGGGAGAATTGTTACAATGGGAAGATCACCTCAGATCTGATTAACAACTTTAAAACTATTACTTTTATCTGAATAGCTGTTTGTAAATGGAGGAGTGATAAATGTCAATGTTTTAGGTAAAGTGAGACTAAGGATGGTTTGCCACAGGAATATTCTATCTGCGGAATCAATTGTGTATTTAATAGCTAAAAGTTGTCAGGGTAGAAAATAGCATTATAGGTTTGCATACTTCTCAATAATTAATTTTGATTTCAGCTTGTATAAAATTCTCGGCAGTGATTATAAAAGGCTTAAGCCAAGTAGCTAGAGAGCTAAAGGGGAGACACCCATTAGACTTTATTTTGTAACAGCATTATTATGCAATACCTTTTTTCAGTATCTTTATTCTCTCAATGCCATTTTCATACCTCTTGTTCTTTGCTTCGTAGCCTAGTTTGTAGGAAAGCTCTTTTATACCTAATAGTCTCTTGAACAATTAAGACTGTATCCTTAACTGGATGTCTTTTTTTAATCATGCTGAGATGTTGAAGAGTATCTTTTGATCCTACATTTTCTTCCCTTGTTTTATAGGTAGTTTTGTTTATAGCTTGGCTTTTCCACAAATTAAAACAGGGAGCAGAAGCATCTGGTAACAAATCTTCTGTAAAAGATGTGAATCAATATTGAAGACTGAAAATTATCATGTTGTAGTGCAATTACCATGTGACTTTGTGTCTGCAGCTTTTTGGGGTGAAATGGTGAAAAAAATCATCTAGTTGATGCAGGATAGGTGTAATTTAAATACTGATACTGGGATTCGGGAAGTAGCATCCAGATGAAGTCTTGTGGAAAAAAAGCTCTGTCCTGATGCGTTGTGGTCCAGTGTTTCCAAATGGTTTTAGTGACTGTACAGGAAGAAAGCCCATTATCCTCCAGTCAGGGAGCATCTGACCATTTCCTTTGGAGGGGGGAGCATCAGTAGATAAGGGCTTCTCTCTCCTGTCCTGCCCTGCCTTATTGATGATATCAGAGGTCAATATTCATGCTTTAGCATTTAGGTTTATCCAAAGCGAGAAACTGATTGTAGCTTGCTACAGACAAATTCCAGTGTGTCGGAGTAAGCTTCTGGCAGCCTGAAACAGCAACTGGTGAGGCCTGTCTCAGTATGGGATCATATTAGAAACGGAACGTATATGGTGTATTCCCAGGTATATGGCAGAGGCTGCTGTGCTGATATGTTTTGGTGAAGCTTTCCCAGCACTCTGTAGGACTTTCAGGTGTTCATGCAAAGGCCTATGTATGGGGTTGCTAGTTCACCTGTTTTTCTCAACCAGTCCTGACCTCTGTGTATCTCTGTAGAACTTAGTCATGCTCTGAGCACATGGGCCTTGTCTCAGTGAGAAAAGTTACTTGGTCGCATAGAGTCTCTGTTTGACAGTTAAAATACTTCTTTTCAGTGTTACAGACGTGTTCATATTTAAACTGCCTTTTTTAAACTCTGTGGCTTCCTTTGACTTCTCTGCGCGCCAGCTGCATGTTCCTTTTGTAATTCTATTTGAGGAAGAATTTGTTTCTGAAAGTCAATGCCAGGTTAGTATTTGGGCACTAGGTGCATGTGTGTTCCCCCTGCCTCCCCCTTGGAGGTTTTGAAGCTAAGAATAAACCACTTATGAACAAGGGTAACAAATTGTTTTTCAAAGCATATATTTAGAATCGCAACTCTTGCTAGCATCAGTTGATCTGTCCCAGTGATACCAAATGTACTCTGCTTTCCGCGTTTATAAATCCAGCATCTTCAATGGGTTCACATGTGCTTGGGAAATACTCTTCCCAAGCACATGTGAACCCATTGAAGATGCTGGATTATTGTATTTGTTGTGGTTTTCTGCATGTAAAACTACTCTTACGCTTTTTTGGTTATGAACTTGTGATTATGCCCACCATTGGGATAGCTTTTGAATTCGTATTGGTTTGAGGCAGATTTTATAGCTGAAACTGTGTAAAAATTGTACTAGACCTCCTTGGTATGAATACTGCCTGAGACCTCTACATTAGAGTGCTAAAATAGAAAATCCAGTTTTATCCTTAGGGTGTTGTTGGGGATCAACCAGTGTTCAGGGTGTGTTCTTGGCATGTTGAAAATAGGTCTCTGACGTGTGCCTTGGAAGATGTCCTGAAGGAGTTCATGTAGCATGACTTCAAAACTAGAATCTTGTGATGAGAGAAGTGAGATCAGCCAACAATGGCAAATCTGTTCCAAGCATCTTTGATGACTTGAGGCAGCTTACATGTGGGGTTTTCCTCCACAGGCATTTATCGTTCTTTGGTGGAATGAATATTTTTAATGAAAATAAGGAGCATTATTGTATTTCTATAGATAGATTAAGGCCTTATCTAGTTTTTGATTGTTGGCTTGCTGTACTTTTCATATAGCTGCTTGAGGAATTTGGGGTGAGTTGTTTCTCAACTGTTGGGGTCTCTATTAAATACTTAGTTGAGGACACATGCATTTGGCTGCATTAAGGTAAAGGTAATTTTGAAGGGTATCTGAATTGCTGCCTTTTTACTAAAGATTGGTCTGCTTTCTGTGCATTTTCTTTGTTGACGTCTTGATTTTTGGGGCAGCAAGGGTAGTGAATTCTGTAGCTGAAGATGGCAGCAGTGAATAATCAAGAGGAGACTTTCACAATTGTTTTAAAATCACTGTTCAGTATCATGAGATTAAACAAATTAGAAACCTGATATGACCAGTCAAACCCTGAACATTATCCAGCATTTACTGTTTTGAGTAAGGCTTTGAAGAAGGTTGAGTTCATAAACTTGTCTTTTAATAAAACAGCTCAGAGTAGAATTTCTCTTCTCATTGCTGCGCGAACTGTTGGAAGATTTCAGTGTTCCACCAGTTCATGCTGCTGCTGTAACTGCTGCTCTGCAGTTTGTAAGTCAGTTTGTAAGAGTCATGACTAAAATGTTAATTTAGCTTTGTCCCTGTGTATTTCTCATTGTGTAGGATGCAGAAGTCTAAAACAATTGCATACCATTTCCCCCTCCACCTGCTTCTTGTCAGCACAGTCAGTTTTCATGGGTAAGCCTGTTCCACTTCCCACTTCTCATGTCTCGTCTTGTGCCAGGAATGTTTTACTGTATAACTGTCATAACCTGGAAAGCTTTCTGTTTGTCATTATTTAAAGAGGAAATGGTAGTTTCATGTGAACTTTTTTGTCATACTTGCTTTTAGTATTGTATTTTATGCAGAGAATTTTCCAAATGACATGGCAACAATAAAAGTGTCAGTTTGCCAATATCCAGCAATGGTTTTGTTTTTAACCTGGAAAAGAGCAGTGTTCATCCGTGTTGTGCTAAGGGCAGTTTCTTGGCCTCACCAGCAATTCTGCTGGTTGATGCCGGTTCTGCCTGCATTGTCAAACTGTAGTGGTTGCTTCTGTTGGTGCTATTGACAGAGACCTCTGTGCTTCTCAGAAATGCAGTAACGAGGCGTGGGCTGATCACTGCAGAGTTGCTTGTATAACCTTCTCTTGAAAAAAGAAAACCTCCCACTCAGAACTGCTGCTCAGATACTGGGATGATGACGAGTAGCTTTTCAAAGCTTAGAATGGTTTGCAGGAATGCGAGGTGACAGGAATGGAGCCCGTGTCATGCTGTAGTGCAAGGCTGTGTGTTATGGCTGGGCTCGTGTCACAGCTTGTTGCTGCTGTGGGGTGCAGGTCCTGTCACTCCTGCCTTTGTGCCCTGTGAGTAGCCAGTTCAATTTACTAAGGCAAAACACTTTTCTTTTGTGCTTGTTCTCACTCTTTCTGCTGTCTTTGTGAGTTGAATTGGCTCAGTGCAGGGAACAGGGCAGACAGTGAGCAGGACAGTCCTCATTTCTGGTAACAGTTCCCTTGTAATGTGCAATTGCGTCCACAGTGTTTTCATTTGAAGTGTGTGTTTTGATAAGATGCACTGCATTGATGCTGCACTCTGCACCCTGCTCACTTCCGCTGTGGTCACGTACTCCTGTCACTTTCCCACCACCATCTCTAGCACTTGTTTGACCACTTCCCTAGTGGAAAAGTAGGACGAGCACAGGGTAGGCAGGTTGATGTGATGAGGTGCATGGGAGGAAGGAAATGCAGACCTGGGACAATCTCTCTTAGCAGCAGTGAGCTGTTCCACTGGCTGTGCCTTGTTCTGTTGCCTCTTATTCTCCAGTGAATTTGAACACATTGGTCAAATCTGAGAGGAGCGAATATCTCCAAGATAATTTAGCGTCTGCAAGATCTGTGGAAGACCAAAATGAAGAAAGAGACCTCAGATGCCCCACAAGATGGGAAAGGTTGGAATATGAGCTCTTGATGTTACTGCACAGAGCATTCATTTAGATTACAAGTCCCAGTTACTAACAGTCTTCACTTAGAGCTCACAGTCAAGAAACACAGCATGTTGTGATATCCTACTTGCTCTATTTTTATTTTTACTTGTTTAGATTGAAAAACTTCCTGGAGTTTGTTGCCTTGAATCCAGACCATCAATCTTGCTCTTCAAACCATTACTAAGAGGTTGCCTGCAAGTGTGAAATCTGATTCTGCCTCTTGGGCTTCTGAGGCTGGACTAAGGTCTGAGACTTCAGTCAGTAGGGGTTGTGTACAGTAAATGTGCCTGTAAAAAGGTGAGCATGGGGAAGGGGTGAGTGTGAGGTCTACTATGTAATAGGTCTCAGAAATCTTACAGGAAAAGATTTAACCTAGCAGAATAGGTTAATTCTGAATGACTGACTGTTCTGGGTATAAAATTTAACTGACGTGGGAAGGGGAAGGCGGAATTCATGCATGCAATTTGGATTTGTGGAAGATGGATCACGGAACTGGCCTGTGCTCAGAATCGGATGTCCAAGATCATCACCAGCAGTCAAGATCATTGCCAAATTCATCATTGGAAGTGGAAACCTGTTTTCATCTTTCTAGCCCTGCTAAAAGGATATACCTTTGATGTTTCTGGAATCATTTATCCAGATGTTTTCACCTGCTACATACTGTGAGAGCTAACGCCGCACTGTTGCAAACAGTAACTCAGAGAGTGGAGATGAACCTTCTGAACTTACAGTAGAGAGGTTTTTATTACAGCTGATACTGGTCTTCTCTTCATAAAATCTGCATCTCTTGGGTTGCTGGTGACTTATTTTTTCCTGGCATTTTTCCTGGGAAAAGAACTGCCTGCTGGTTAACTGAAGGGAGGATATTGCCTTGAACAAACCCAGGAAAAGAATTGGCTATAAAATGTAAGACACGAGACTGGGATTGAACTCTGGCCATTGTGTGAATTGAGGGGCTGTGGATTCTCATCCTTTGTTTTTACAGAGGGTCACTATCCTAGCTAATTAAAAAAAAAGAACAGCTTGCGATAAAGCCTGATTTCTAGGCAGTTAGGTTTCACTGGGGGTGCTCATTTCACTGGGGGTGTTCACTTTCAGGCCGGCCTGTAGGAAATCCTCACTGTGATCTGGAGTGGAGATTTGATCATGTTAAAGACAAACCCTTTTTCTCAAATCCTGAAGATTTTCACGAGTTAATGATCTATGTTACTCACTGAGTTTTCAAGAGATGTGAATGGATTACTGTGAGGGGGGTGAGGCACTTTGACAGATTACCCAGGAAACTTGTGAATGTTCCATCCCTGGCAGTGTTCAAGGCCAGGTTGGACGGAGTCTTGGGTGACATGGTCTAGTGTGTGGTGTCTCTACGCATGGCAGGGGCTTTGGAACTAGATGATCTTAAGGTGCTTTCCAACCACAGCTACTCTATGATTCTGTGATTAATTTCCAGATCTTTCCTAGTCAGTCATTGTTGCATGTTAGTTACGTGATAAGCACTGAATCTGTCGTCAAATGAGGACCAGCTAGTTTGCTCCAATCATCTGAATGCTGAAAGGGAATGTTGTTGCATGGCTTCTGCTGCCTGCTGTCCTCGGGGATCGCGGCAGGAGGTGCAGGGTGACACCCTGTGTGGTGCCTGGGCAGAGCCCCCCAGGGCCAGGATGCTGACCAAGGGGAGAGGTGCACTGATAAGATTTGGGGGTTCCTGGACACTGCAAGCCATTGAGGTGGAGGGTGTAAAGACATGAATTAACCCAGGTTTGTGGTTTTGGTTATGGTGATTTTAGAGATACCCTAATGTATGTGGCTGAGGAACCTCTTCTCTGTGATCTGCTAAAGGTTTTGGAAGCTCTTGATGTGAAACAGTACATTGCCAGTTGTTTTAAGGTACTCGGTTATGAAAGCAGAATCTCTTGATTTCCTTTCAGAACATAAACCAGTTACACAACAGCTGAGAAAAGATTTCTGACTTTAATAAAAGTCAAAGACTGAACTCCACTGCAGTGTCCTCGGGGCATTCATAAAGTTCTAGAATTCCTTCAGCTGCACAAACAGGAGTTTATAAATATTTACTGAAACTAACTTTGGAAATGTCACTTGTGCAACTGGAGGTAAATATGAAGGAGAAACTGGGGGTGGGTACGGGAACAGCTTGTTACAGATAGGTTGTGTCCACTTTGCTATATATTTCTGGTTTATGACCACTTGGTTTAATTTCAGTCCTTGCCAGCTGCTTCTGCAGCACAGCATCTGCACACACAGTTCAGAAGGAACATCTGAGAGAAAATGAGCACTTTAGAAGGCAGACTGCTGCACCCATTGCCTAATGGAATGGCTGCTGAAGACTTCAGCGTGGTTGTAAACGAGTGTGTTAGGAGGAAAATCAACTGCCACTACTGTGTGAGACCTTGAAAAAGCTGTTAAAAGTTTTGCACAGTACTGAAGGAAGGTGCAAAATGTAAACATCTGCAGTTCTAAGCGCTACTGTGCAGATTTTTCTCACCCATCTCTAGTGGTGATACCAAAATACAGTCTTAAATTCATAGATCTCCAAGTTTGGGCAGCTACTCCATTTTATATGCATTTTGTTCACATTTTGTGATCTATAACTTATGCTTTATTTTTGAGAATTTCACTTTTGAGCAGTGTTTGAGGAATTCAGCATGAATGTTTATCCTGAATAGATTAGACTATAGGATTTCTAAATCAATACCCAGAACTTATCACACACTACATGTGTAAAAGCACAAATCTTCATCTTTCATCCCAAAATAATGTGATTTTTTTAAAGATAATGTTTTGCTGAAGTTTGACCTCAGGAGAAACTTCTTTACCTTGTGCCCACTCCACCCTTGTGAACACAAGAAAGGCGAGTCGCAAAGCATTAAAAGCAAAATCAAATCAGGAAGTGTCCCAGTAAGGATCAAACCTTTTGTGGCCCCATCTGTTAAACAAAGGGATATTGGGGGGGGAATCTTGGAGAAGTCTGGCCTGGGTGGTATCACTTTGAGGGTGAGAAATAATTCAACTAATTAAGATTCGTGTTGTCTAAATATTCCATGTAAAAATCATACTAACTAGATATAAAATACTGAACTGTGTCATAAAATATTTAAGCATTAAGTGCAAAAGCTCATTTTTTTTTTTGTTCCTTGTAGCTTAGATCAGGGAATTTTAATCACAGTTACTTACCCCTCACTTTACACATTGCTGGCTGCAGAATCTGGGGTAAGTACAGCCACCTTCTTTACGCCTGAGGGATGACAGGGTTGTAGCGTGTAATACTTGCACAGGGGAAGATGCAGTCTTTTCTGCTTTGTGAAAGCAAACAAGATGTGATGTTTAAAAAATGAAGTTGGCCTAGAAATAAGTGATTGGGGGGGGTGGGGGGGTGGGGTGTTAATTTCTTTTTTTTTTTTAATGGTGAATTTTACTTGTCAAGTAAAGGAAGGTTTTATTACTTGACATGAGTGATCTGGCATGCTGAAACTAATGAGCCTAAATTAGACCGGCAGGAAGCAACACAGTGGGTGGAAAATAGACATTGAAGTATCTGAACAAATTTGTGAAGGGCTGAATGTTCCTCTTGCACACCTTTATTGTGGCAGATAGGCAAGATGGTAAGACCACGCAGAGCCTGAACCACAGAGCCTGAACCATCTGCTGAGACACTCTACCTGCTCTCCAAAAGCTGTTTGAGAGACTAAGCAAAGTGCTTTTATTATCTGAAAAGATACAAAGTAACTCCTTCACTATGGTGCTGATTTTAGTTCAGTTTTCAATTGGCTACTGTAGTAATTAAGCCCATGATTAAAATGAAGCAAATACTTCAGCATTTCACTGAACTGGGGCTCTATTTCATGTTGTTGTTTTTTTTTTATCTGGGGGCAGCTGTAAAAATCATGGAAGCAACTCTGCAAGTGGGTAAGTTACCAGAGTGCTCTTCAGTGAGGAACCTGGCCCTGGAATTATGACAAAACTCTGCCCCATCACTTTTTCTATTATTCATTTTACCTCTGATAGACATACCTTTTCTTCCCTTCAGTGCAAAACCCAAGAGTTCTTCCCTGCCAGCTGCCAGATGATAGCTTTCCCTAGTAGTTGCAAAGAGATGAGTGATTCATTGGTACAATCTCAATGCTTTTTTTACGAATCTGTCTTTTAAACCTGGGGTTGTGTGAACTTTCCAGCAACTTGTGTTAGTTAAATCACTGTTACAACCCATTGCTCTGGCTGCACGCACTGCTGTGCCTTACCAAATAGCTGGTGCAAGGCAAAGCACAGCAAAGAACTCGCTATTACACTTCTTGATGGTGAGTGTTGCCCACTTGCCTGCCTGCACTCTTGCTCTCAAAGATCAGCAAATACTTTAAATCTCAGCCTGCAGAAGAAAAACCAAAATTCAGAATCCTTATAAGTTCTTTGTACACAATGACCATGGCCCGAAACACTTGTGTGTCAGCTTCATGAACAGCTCTGCAATGTGAGTGATCTGGGTTTTTTTCCATCTATGTTTGTAATACTTTACATCAGATGTATAGATGATTTAATAAAAAAACCCAAACACGACCAAACTTGGTGTGAACATTGGCTTGATAAATCTTTTCCATAGAAACTTCTTAAGTATTCATTGATATTGAGTTGCTTAAAGTGATAACTTGACTACCAGGTCTGAAACTCGTTCCAGGAAGATCAAATATTGCAGCTGCACTGAACCTGAATCATTTCAGTTGGGTTCTGTGTGGGTGCTTGAGTCCACCTGCACAGAATAGATACATACAGAACTCTGGTTTTGAGAAAGCAAGATTCCATTTTGCAGTGTGTACATCGACTTAAAAGAGCGTCTCTGACCCCTGCTCCTGGGTAGAGGTGGAGCCATGTGATGAAGGCAGTTAGTGCCAGCCTCGCACATGCACTGATTCAGAGAGATGTAACCACTGTGTAAGGGCAGGGAGGGTGCACAATCCAATTACAGCTTTCAGTGTTTGGGTTTACTGATTTGCCATTTCAAATGTTACACTTGCAGTTCATGTCTGTTTATTTGTTACTTGATAAATTTTAAATTGTGTAAGGACTGGAGATGGCTGTGTAGGTTGGTTATTTTCTATTTTTTTTTTTTTTGTTTTCCCCTAAAAAATTCGGTACCTGCCTTCAAGTAAACTGGAAAGAGGGGAATAATTTTAACTTCATGGTATTTTAATGATTTTCACTGCTATGAATTGGTTTTGCTCCCTGTAGTCTGTCCTTTATTGCATTAGCACTGCAGTTCAATATTCGTGTGGGATACTGTTTTTTTTGACTACTGTGTTGTAGTGCTGCTGCTGTTACTCATCATTTCATATAGCTTCATTGAGGCTATTACAAGCCGTTCCAAAATTTAAAATAAACATTTCTGCTTCAGCTGGGCGAAGGTCACTTCATCTTTAGTGAGGATGTAAAGCATTTTTTATTGGTACCTTTATAAAAGGGATACAAGCAAAAGTACTCTTGTATGTGAAGAACTCAAAGATTAGGACTAAAGAATAAAACAACTGCAAGAGTTTTATGCTGCAAGGGGCTGCAAAGTATATCCCTTTTCATTAGATACTATGATTCAAAAGTTACTTGTTTTAAGCTTATTGGGTTTAAACTTTGCATTTAATTTCTGTAGAATGGGACTTTAAATGCTTCCTCGGCAGGGCTGTGGATAAAAAATGGCTTCCCCTTTTCCTGCACCATCTGATGAATTACAGACTTCTCTTAAATATTTCATGGTGGTTTTAATTCTGCTATTAGCAAATTACCTCTGTATGAAAAGTCACATTAACAGTTTAATACTGCTCCGGGAGTCGCTAGCAACTTACGAAGTGACTCCCATGACTCATCCCCTGTGCTCTAATCGCTATATAGCTCACAGGCTGTCTGTGGGTGCCACTCCTGTCTTGGGCCAGGGTTCGCTCCCCTCGCAGTGCCCTGTGAGGCTTCATCGAGCAGAGGAGCGAGCAGAGGACAGTGGAGCCCTCCTGCTATGGATGTTACCTATCACTTTGGGGCTGGAAGGGCTTATAAGCTCTTCTGCAGAGACAGCTTGGCTGTTAATGTCCCTGCGGAAAACCTGGGAGGAGTATAGCAATCCCTTTGATAGGGGATATAAAGATTGCTTACACGTTTACCTCCTTCACCCAACTGTACGTTTTTCTTCCCTTTTTTAAACAGAGTGCTACCAGACAAGATGCACACTGGATGCATTGTCGTTTTATCCACTCTGTAAGTTAAAACGGTGCTGTAGTGCTGGATCTGTGTCAGTCAGAAAATAAATACTCCAGCAACTTCTGTCAGTGGCACCCATCGTAGGGGAATGAGTCAGGCGTAGCTCTCTAGCAGCTCAAACCTACCCTCTGCTCTCTAGAGGGCGGCTGCATAGTCCTCTTAAGGGTGGGAAAGGCTACACGGGTGGGGGAGCTGCTGGGTGAAGGCAATGGACAGAAGAGAGTCACCGAGTGCTTCTTTAACCAGTGATCGTCCTTGTCCCTGCTCTTCCCTCCCTCGGAGGAAGGGGGGAACCTCCGAAACAAGATGCCCTGACATAACCGTGCGCTCTGGGGACGGATCTTTAAAGCGCCTGTGCTCACAGTTTGTGCAGCGCTGTGGGTATAAAGCACAGAAGTTATGAGTAAGTCCTTCCACTGTCTGACAGCCAGGAGTTACTAGAGGGCTTTTGAGTAATCGGAGTTGACGATGCCGAGGACCAGCGCTGGCATCTTACCCATTTCAGGCCTTTTACGGTTGTTTCTCCCGTTTCTTGTTACCGGCGCAGCTTCGCTGTCCGAGCCGTGACTGCCGACGGACCCTGCACCCCGCAGCCGGGCTGGCGGAGCCCCCCCGCCAAGGGAACAGGGGAACTCATAAACAGCGCCCGTCTTGCACCGGCGGACCGGGGCCGGGTGCCGTTACCTAGCGGGCCGGGGCTGCCGCTGGGGTAGGGACGCGACCTCCGCCGCCGCGGGGCGCTCCGTACCCGGCCGTGCACTGCGGCGGGCGCGGGGCTGCGGCAGAGTGACGGCTGCGGCCGCCAATAGGGAGCGCGGGGGAGGGCGCCGCCATTTCGGGCCGCAGCTCAGAGCGGTTCCCGGCCCAGCAGCTGCGGCGGGGGCTCTGCCCGGTGCCGTGCGGCACGGAGCAGGACCGCCATACGCGCTGGCGGCGCGGCGCCGCGCCCCCTCCGCTCTTCCCGCCCTCCGCCCCTTGCTCCCGCCCCCGTGGCAGCGCTGTGGGGCGGAGCGGAGCGCGGCACCGCCTCGCTTCGGCGGGTGCCGTGAGAGAGGTTGCGGCGGCGCCCGCGGCCGGTCGGCGATGGCGGCGCGGCAGAAGCGCGGGTGGCCGCGCGGCTACTAAGTAGGGCAGCGGCGGGGCGGGGGCGGCGGCGGGGCCGTCGCGGCGGCTGCGCCATGCGGGCCGGGCACGGGGGGCCGGGCAGGAGACGGCGCCGGGGGCGGTGCGCCCTGCTGCCCGCCGCGGGCCCCGGGGCGCCGGGGCGCTGAGCAACAGTTGGCCCCGCCGCCGCCCAGCATGAAAGTGTGCCGGCGGAAGGCGCTGGCGCTGTGCCTGGGCTACGCGCTCCTGCTGCTCCTCGCTGCCCTCAACCTGCTGGAGTACAAGTGGCGGCGGGAGCCGCGGCGCTGCGGGGAGCCCCCGGCCGCCCCTCGCCACCGTCTCCCGCCGCCACCTCCGCCGCCGCCGGCCGGGAGCGGCGGCCCGGCGGGCCCCCGGCGGCAGCTGGTCTATGTCTTCACTACCTGGCGCTCGGGATCGTCCTTCTTCGGGGAGCTCTTCAACCAGAACCCCGAGGTTTTCTTCCTCTACGAGCCGGTGTGGCACGTCTGGCAGAAGCTGTACCCTGGGGACGCCGTCTCGCTGCAAGGGGCAGCCCGCGACATGCTGAGCTCCCTGTACCGCTGCGACTTCTCCGTCTTCCAGCTCTACAGCACGGCGGGCGCCGGCAAGAACCTCACCACACTGGGCATCTTCGGGGCGGCCACCAACAAGGTCATCTGCTCTTCGCCCCTCTGCCCGGCCTACCGTAAAGAGGTGGTGGGCATGGTGGATGACCGGGTGTGCAAGAAGTGTCCCCCGCAGCGCCTCAGCCGCTTCCAGGAGGAATGCCACAAGTATCGCACGCTGGTCATCAAAGGTGTCCGTGTCTTTGACTTGGCTGTCCTCGCCCCGCTTATGCGGGACCCGACTCTGGACCTCAAAGTCATCCACCTGGTGCGGGACCCCAGGGCTGTCGCCAGTTCTCGTATTAAGTCCCGGCACGGCCTCATCCGGGAGAGCCTGCAGGTGGTGAGGAGCCGGGACCCCCACATCCACCGCATGCCCTTCCTTGATGCTGGCCACAAGCTGGGCGGGAAGAAGGAGGGGGGTGGTGGCTCAGACTACCATGCCCTGGGTGCCATGGAGGTCATCTGCAGTAGCATGGCCAAGACCCTGCAGACTGCTCTGCACCCCCCTGACTGGCTCCAGGGGAACTATATGGTTGTGCGCTATGAGGACCTGGTGGTGGAGCCCATCAAGACCCTGCGGCAGGTGTACAGCTTTGTCAACCTGGCCGTCAGCCCAGAGATGGAAAAGTTTGCCCTCAACATGACCAGTGGCCCCGGCTACTCCTCCAAGCCCTTCGTGGTGTCGGCCAGGAACGCCACCCAGGCGCTGAGCGCCTGGAGAACTGCACTCAGCTACCAGCAGATCAAGCAGGTTGAGGAGTACTGCCACCAGCCCATGGTCCTGCTGGGCTATGAAAGGGTTGGCAGCCCTGAAGAGGTGAAGGACCTCAGCAGAACATTGCTCAGGAAGCCGCGGTTGTGACGGGGCAGCGGGTGCCTGCCAACTGCCCTGGCTGGTGGCTGAGCCCTGCTGGGGAGAGGAGCGGCTCCAGCTGGCTTGAGTGAGGGAGGGAGCCGGGAAAAGCAGCCTGGCTTCTGATTTCCTCCAAAGACTGCTGAAGGGTAACATACAGTAATGTGATGATTTCTTTCTTTCTTTTTTTACCCCTTCCCTTCCATTGAGTTAGATGCTATTAAAGTAAATAAATAAAGTGGATCAGAAAATACGTGTAAAGCTCCTTTCCCCTTCTCTAAAATGTCAGGCAATGATTCTGTACCAAAATCTTGTTAATGGAGTTCTTGTAGGCTGAGGATGGTTAACGGAAACTCTTGCACAATTCTTAACACATCTTTATCTCCCTTAGTGTGAAAGGGTTGCCCTTGGAAAGCATAATGCTGAAAATCAGACTTTTTGTATGAAAGAAAATATGACATGATAGTAATCAAGAAACCAATAAATGATATTCATTTTTATAATTACCTCAATTGTTTGGGAATTACAGTGTTGCTTATGTACAGCTGGAGGGGATGCTTCCTTAAAATAGCAACATGGACTTTCAAATAGTATGGGTGGTGGGGCTGGAGTGCAACATTTGACATGTTCAAAGATTAGGAGCTGCTTTTGCAGGAGCAAGTACAGATCTCACAAATGTAGTGCAGGTTTTATGGCTATGTTAAAGCAGGTTTCTATTTAACTATTGTCTTTTTTGTTGTATTTATAAAGTCTTTCAAGTGCCACTGTATTAGTGTTCTGAGAGTTCTGAAACGTTTGCCATCACAGCAGTATTTATTTTTGTCTTGACATGTATGTCCAGGAGTCACTGTCAAATAGAAGTGGATCTACAGCGTGACAAGAAGTGCAGGATTTAAAAAGACATTTATCATACTGGAAACATTAGCATGTGTGGAAACAAAAAATTATATATTTATATATATTATATAGTGCTAACAATACATAAGATATGTAAGATATTTCTTGACATTGATTGATAACAGGCATAACAGGGAAGCATAAAAATGCATAAAATGATTTATTTTTCCCCTTTATCAAGTGTCCAAAGTTATATTTATGTACAAAGAGGAAGAAAACGTTCAGCTGTCTGTTCATAGCTGTGATGGAGCTTTTACAGAGTCAAGCTAGTGTTTGATTTCAGAGTGCTGGTTAGATGCTTGTTTCTTGTGAATTGTTATTGCTCTGTGGTGGAGGCAGATGGTGGTCTGGCTCCTTCTGGGAGCTTTGCCCAGAGACTCTGCCCCATCGTTAAAACTTGATTAAAAAAAGCCAACCCAAAACAGATTTTACTACTTCTGCTTTTATAATTTCCTGAAAAGCTCTTGTTTTATTAAAGGTTAAGTGGTGTGTTGCATACGAGAAGTGCAGACACCTCAAGTAGTTTTTAATCTTTGCGATATTCTCTGATGCTCTTCGAAGGCTCATTTTGGAACCTGAGTTTTTAAATGAAAGTGGTTTTGCCAAACTGTTCTCTTAGGAGACTATAGATTTTTCTACAAGAAGTACATTTTACATTGCCTATTTGGGTGTTGTGCCTTCAGAAATTATGAAGAGTATGAGTCGGATAAAGGAAAGTGATTTGTGAAAATAAACTGATTTTAACAGTTTATTAAACTGTTTATTAACTGTTGTTAGACAGTTTATTAAACTGCTGATAAGTGTGTGTGTGCGTAAGTGTGAAAATTTTTGTGATGTGTAATATGTCTGTTTCTTGTGTTAGTGCTTATAGAGGTGATAACTGGCTACTAAGCTATTGACTTCTTGATTAAATTTTGGCATTAGATGTTGAACGAACTCTGAAAAGGAAACTAATTTAATAAACTAGTTAAAAGATTATTGCATAAGGTTGCTTTTACACTTGCTGGGTGACTGCATTATGTGTGTCCATTCCCTCAGTTCATCATCGGCACAGATAATGTGAATAATTTCTATCAGTGGGAGATCTTGTAATTGGCCTGTTAGGATCTATTCCTAAATTCCAGATAGCAGTGCTAAAAATGGGAGGAATAGTTAATCTGATGTGTAAGATACAGGTTAAGTAAGGTGTTGTCGTGGACTGAGGTGTTTTGTGTTATCTCTGTACGTACTCTGCTGTGGTGCTGAGTGGATATTGGATGTCTGGGTTTTGGCTGTATCCTGTGGGGTGTTTTTTTTTTTTTTATATATCATTCTGTGTGTCCTGGGGCAGTGCTTGAAAATGATCTGCTTGTAGAGCGTGTCGCTTGCTTTTTATCCACCCACTACTTTACGACCCACCCCTGCTACCCACCGCACAGTCCTGTCAGCCTGCCTCGCAGCCGCCCTGCGTGTGTTTGCCAGCGCTGCTACCAGCAGGCAGGCGGTCCCGGGGAGCTGCAGAGCCTCTGCAGAGCGGGGTGCTTACCTGTGAGGAAGCGAGCCCAGTGTCCCCTCTGGGCTGGAACAGTGCCCCATGATTTTGGCTCCCCTGGCTTAAAACTTCGCTGTGGTTTCTAAATGAGGCTTTCTCATGACTGTGTTACAGCATAACCTCTTTTGATTTTGGGGCTGAAGCATGATCATTCATGTGTGCAGAATTCCTTGGTCTCTTCTGTGTGAATAAAGTGAACAGGAGGTAATTGTGTCTGGAAGTGTGAAATAATGACTTAGTTTCCAAAAATCTCCTTTGGCTTCTAATTATATTAAAAAGCTCATCCTGTTGTTCTGAGTGAGCACTCACTGCTCTTCTAATAATGGTGGATCAAAGCATCTGCTTCGCTTTACTGGTATGAACAGTGTGCCAGTAGAGTTGCAGCATCTGAATTTGGTCCATAATTTGAGCTCTACCTGCTACATTGCAGCAGGAATTACCCAACATACTGAACGGTTGTACCTGGGCATGTTTTGGTGACCAAAAAAAAGTAACGCAAAGCTCATTTTGTGAGAATAAAGGACTGCATTTTTTTTCGGGTAAAGCTTAAGGAGAAGTGTGTGGGACTCTGCTGCTTGTGTAAAATACTGGTGGGCTGAGCCCTATGTTTAATGCTGCTCCATTAAAAAAAAAAGTACATGAACAACTAGCAGTTAAAAGAGGCCATTTTTAGTCCTTTTGGTATTCAGAAAAGAGAATTAGAAGAATGTAAAAAAAGCCAAACATTAAAAAAAGATGTTTTAAATGTGGAAAATTACAGACAAAAATAGGATATCAGAAAGATGGTGAACATGGCTACAAAAGACCTCTGCCTGTTGTGCGGAGGGACATCTAACTGGGGTCAGAATACTCATATAATACTTGACTCTTATGCTTAAAAGTTGTGCCTGGGTTTGGTTTCTGTCTGACTTAATAATTACAGCGTGCATCCCCTGAAGCTAATGCTTGTATTAGTGAGGAATCAATAGCACAGACAAGGTACAAGGTGCACTAAGTTGCAGTGAACTGGGAGGAAGACTGTTTTGAAGACTTGGTGCATCATTTCAATGGAACAGAAAGGCCAGTGCACAACTATGTATTGTTTTCTGCTGCGAACAAAACCAGAACAGTTGTACAAATGTTGTAAATGGTAATGGTTGCTCAGTGCATGGAAACACAGGAAAGCCCTCTCTCTCCCACTAAGTCAACTTAAACCACAAGATGTATAGAAGTGTGCAAGTTGCTGCAGCTGACCTAAATGCTGACAATGAACAAATGGTTAGATAAAGTATCTTTCAGTCTTTCTAACAAAAAGAGGAAGTTCTTCATTTTTCAGGTCACTTTGTAATTTATCAGGTGTTAAGCTTCATGCCCTGACTGGGAAGAGGAACATAACTGATTTAATTTAATCCCACAAACCTTGTTTTTCAGTTATGATTTGAACTAGCGATGAAATAGTGATGGTCATAATAAATTCTGAAACAAGTGTATTTCATCCTGTAGGCCATAAAAAGAAGAGTGGGATTATTCTTTATTCCCCCCTTCATTTCTAATTGCTGTACTGTAAGTGTTCCTGAAAGCGAATGGTGTTTAACATTGCATACTGCAAGGGGTGATCTTAGGAGTCTGTGTTTCAGTTCTGCTCCTGTGCATCTGTTTAAGTCAAGGCACAGGTCTCTCTGGAGTGGTAAATTCCAGTTGTGTCAAATTGCATGGGGCTGTTTCACATGAACAGGCTGGACATTGGGCTAATGCTGCCTGTGTTAATCAAATGGATCAGAAATGTTCTTATTTTAGTGCAATTTCAATTAAGGATGTTGTACCAGGATAAATCTTACTCTGCTGGAGTCAGGCATATGAATAAGGCAAGCAGATTTAATTTGAAGCCTCTAAGTGAGTGTGAAACTGTTTGCCATTAATGTATCCAACTTTAATGGTCAGTGCTTTCTGCTAGTTATCCTGACAGTGATTGGGTGCCGTTTACATTTTGTATCAGAGCTCCTGAACATGAAAATGTGTGTATGTTCTGAAATAAAAAAATATATGGAATAACATTTCAGCAACATTTATTATATTGCACACATTTGAAGTAAAAAATTAGGTTTGTCGGGTTTTTTTTTTGTTTCACTGGTATCAGATGAGTTCTGTTAATGTGTTTAAATAAGGGCTCTTGGCTGTCATGACATCCATGATTCTTCACATAAGTTATCAATTCTGCAAAGAAAATGCATAGATTCTGTACAAAACAGACTGTTTGAATTTTACAAGTTGGAAAATTTCCTTGTATTTATTTCATTTTGAGGCTTGGGATTCCCTGTATCATGTCATGAGATCATGAAAAGATCACGAGAATGGACCTACAGCATTGAGTATTTAGTGTTTGAATCAGTGCAAGTCCGATGAGAGTAAGTGCAAAACATAAGGTATACTGTCTTCCCCTTAGCTCATGAAGAGCCAGCATTTCTCAGACACATCAGTACCAAAAGCTATGGAAAAAAATGTCATGATATAAATGGCCTTGCAAATGGGAGAATGAGGATGAAAGAATCATGTGCTTCTGCAGTGAAACACCAACCTGTAAAATGCATGTAAAATTATATGGCATATATCTTCACAGAAGAAAATTCTGTATGTCAGGGACCCATTTACACCCACTGAGTGGGTAAGATCCCTGGTGCCCACTCAATGTGTGATACAGGAATATGCTTGTTATAAACAGGGTGGTGAGAAGGAAACTGAAGTTGAGCAATAGGTTACCATCTCTTTGTTCCTATTGGAAAAGTTGGTGAGTAGCCAGGACAGCCTGCAGGTTTTTTAGTATGAGGTACTGTAAATTTGTGTCTGGATATAATGACATTATTCTGATGAAGTTTGAATGAAAATAGGACTTCGCTGCTGAAAAACAACATGAACATCAGGTTGGAGGAACTCCCCAAAGGAAAAATTATTGACAAAGCAATCTGAGCAAGGAAGGCTGGTAGGAGCTGCTGTGAGCAATCTGATTCTAACGGCATTAGTGGAAGTTGCAGTTGCGAACTTGAAGGGGCCCTGCACCTACAGTTGTAAGGATTCTGAACATGCTTGTAAGTTTCAAGTGGGATTTTCAAGAATACTTTCAGATGTAACTTTCATTGGAATGGGAATATTATACAGAAGTCAGCGGGAGTTGTATTTCAGGGTGCCTCTGAAAAACATGGCCTCATAATTTCACGTTGGAAAGGGGCTCAGTAGGTTTCTCAAACTCATGGTCCAAACTCCTGCTCAAAGCAGGGTCATCAAACTGAGTTGTTCCTAGTTTCTTTATGCTGGTGAGTGGGTCTTGGAAACCTCCAAAGACAGGGACTGCATGATCTCCTTGAGCAACCTGTTGCAGTGCTTGATAGTCTTTATAGTGAACCATGATGCTTCAGCAGAAGTGGCCACAAATCACTAATTATGTTACATAAATTTCTTGTCTCTTAACTTTGTGGTTTGCCTATGACTGCCAATGTGGGTCATGTCCTTACTTCCCCTTAACTGCAATAGATGTTGGCTGCAGCTCAGCTGTTGTGAAGGGTCAGCAGCAAAATGGCTAATGAGTAGTGATCTCAGTGGAAAAATGTGGAATCACAATTAGTAAGCTGCATCCAGCAATGTCCCTTTTGCTTTTCCCAGGAGTGATAAATAGAAGAGCAGAGGAAACAGAAATTCACTCAGAAGAAAGGAAAGAATTACAAAATGGAGTCTGTTGGATTTTGTTTTCTCTCTGCTATAGGAAAGAAGAAATACTGTTAAGGAAAATGGGAAGAAACAAATGATACATACCACTCAGCAAGGTCAGGAGAGGATGAATAAAAGCATTTGCATCTTAAAAGCAGAAAGCATAGAAACCTGAAATATATAAGCTAAAATGTGCTGATGCTCTTTGCTTTAACTGTTTGCAATTAATCATGATATGCAGAAAGAATTCCTCATTTCTGACACTTAACAGTTTTAGATTCACTGGTTTTGCTCACGATTGCAAGATGAATTTCAACCAGGAATCATTTTCATAATTATTTGGATACTTCTGGTGTTCCAATTTGTTTTGGGTATAGATAGACACAGAATAGCTGACCTTTTGTCTAAATATTCCTTTATTTAGACCTCTGTGCATAAATTCTCAAGAAGCCCCCTAGTCTGCTAAATTCTTGGCATCTTCTTATTTTCCTCCTGCCAGATGGTTCCTTCTCCCACCAGTCAGAGTTATCAGTAATTATCTGTTTCAAGCTATGTGTATGTCTCACAACAGTTTATCATGGGAGATGTAAAATGGAAAAGGGACACATTTAGTCTTTATGTGACTTCCAAAATCACTTCTGTCAGCTTTCATTATTTATTTGCCACTAGTGGTTCCTGTGGAAGCTTGCTGTCCTGGTCTGGGATCAGCCCTTCAGATCTTACATTATTTGGTCCATTTATTAAAATCAGGCATCTTACACACTCAGCAGGCAGGTGTTTTTAGGTGTACTAACTTAAGTTGGTTGAGTGGTGACCTGTTTTCTTCTTCTGGACCCTGATTACCCTCTCTCCTCCAAGCAACAAGCAATAGAAAAAGAGAAAATGGCCTCAAGTTGTGCCAAGAGAGGTTAGAATGGATATTAGGAAAAATTTGTTCACTGAAAGGGTTGTCAAGCAGTGGAAAAGGCTGCCCAGGGAAGTGGTGGAGTTACCATCCTGAGGGTGTTTAAAAGATATATAGATGCAGTGCCAAGGGACATGGTTTAGTGATGGAGTTGGCAGTGCTGGGTTAATGGGTAGACTTGCTTAAAGGTCTTTAGATTTTTTTTCAACCTAAACAATTCTATGATGCGATGGCTGTATCAGACCCTGCCAATGCCATACTGGGATGGTTGGAGACATCTGGGGTCTTTCAACCCATAAAGCAGTGAAGAAGTCCTCACTGCCAGAACAGAGCTCGGGTTAGAGCATGCTGACTTCCATGGTGTTATGAGCTTTTCACCTGCTTTGCTGGCTATAGTTCTAGCTCAAGGCATCATAGTTGGAAATGGTAAGGGATATCTGTTCAAAGATGGTTTGGTACAGTGGTAAAGAGCAAGTGGTGGGAAAACAGTTACTCATACTTTTCGGTTCTGCTACAGGAATGAGCATGAAGCAGCCACCGCTGACCGCAATGCTCTGATTTTGTAAGGATTTAACATCTGGTTCCCTAATTGCATGTTCTTTCATGCTGAGCAGAGGTAAAAAGGCACAGTGTAAAAGTGTAATGTTGTGGCTACTGCCCAGAGGATACCTGCTGTGTTGTTTTAACCCAAGAGACCTCACCACAGGGGACAACTTAGGCACTCATGACCCTCTTCCATTTTACTCTGCTTTAAATAGAAAATGTCATATCTGATGCCACAGCAGAGACATAACCACTGAGTTCTGGGAGGCAGTGCCCTGCGGGTGCTAATTAGGAATGCTGACACCTGAAAAGGGCACGTGAAAGTGGTTGAGGGGAGGTGCTGCTAAACCCTTTTGCCTCCCAAACAGGGAAGAGTTTCTTGGTAAAACGGGATAAGCGCAGAAGTGTTCCCTGCCCTCCCAGGTTGCCTGGGGCTGAGCTCCCCCGACTCTTTGTTTCTACCTGTATTGTACCTGTGTTGTGCTGGGTGTGGGTGGGCACTGCATCCAGTGGCTCTCCAGTGCCTGTTGTTCCAGGGTCGGCTGTGTCCAGTCAGCTGCATGGGTGGCAGCTGGCTGAGGTGTGGTGGAAGGAGCTCTCCTGAGGGTGGG